CGCTTCACTTCTCCTCCGATCCCCGCTGCTTCTGCCCATACAGGCGGAGTTGAGCAGCGGGGTTCCGAGAGGAAGCTGCAGGCTGTGCCGCCCCTCTGTGTATGGCTGAGCAGCAGAGCAAACACTGGAGCCATCAGCTGATGACTTCAGTGTTTGTAAATAACCTGGGACACATATTTACATCACTTCCTGTTCATTAATGAGTTTCTGAATGGGTAGTAGCACTCTGTACAAAGTCTTCTCCCCATTCAGAAACTGGTTGATAGTGAATATTTTCTGAATGAATGGGAAGCCTCTGTACTTTCCATTAATTTACAACAGAGTCTGCAGATATTTAAAAGGGAAATATCAGGGGTCTGTTTAGATCCCTAATATTTCCCGAAGCCCCTCCAACAGTAAAAAAAAACAATTTTAATAATAATAAAAAAAAATTAAAAACACATCCTGGAGGTGGGGTGCATGACATCACATGACGCCGCACATGTGTGGCATTGGGTGATATCACACGCCTGTTGGGAGGGGGGGCCACATTTTTTGTTCTTTTGTTCTTTGTTCTGCAAAAAGAGCTAGCTACGGCTCTGTCCTGAAGAACCGGCTGAAATACGCATAATGTATGGCCAGTTTTAGAGCAGACACCACAAGAGGTCTGCCATTACCTTTACTTATCAAAATAGTATTTTCTGTGTGTTAGTCTGGAATAACTGCCATGGTAGAAAAGGCACACAAATGTTGTTAAAGTGACACCTTTTAGTGCAACTCCTAAAAGTTATCACAATTGTATTGTGCCTTCTCTACCTCTATAATGATCAGGAAGACAACTCTGATTGGACGGTGGGAGTGTTAGCCAAGCCATGAAAGCAGAGAAAGTCAGGCCAATAACAAAGTGCAACAAAGTCAGAGAGGAGCACAGAAGATACCTGACTAAGGGACTCACGCACAAGGCCGTCTGTGGCCACACTATGTAAATTCATGTGTATTTTCCCCGTCATGCAGCCTCAGGTGCTGCGTACTGCTTCCTATAGAAGTCAGTGAGCAGGTAGACACATGCACTACTTTTATTCACTGCACCACAATCCACAGTATTGCTGTACTGCGCATTGCACGGCAGCCAGGGGTGCCATTCAAATGAATGGCACGGCAACGCACCTAGCACATGGTAACGCATGGTATGTGCGTTGTGAAATAGCGTTAATCGCATGGTAGCGTGTGATTAACGCAAAGCTATGGTGTGAATGTGCCCTAATACCTAAGTAATAGAGACTATGGACAGTGCTCAAATGACAGTGCTTCAGTCGCTTCCTGCTGATGCGGCTTAAATTAGAGCTGTGGGTAACCCTGCAAACACCGCCCGGTGCGATTTAAAAATTGACTGAGCCAGGGGGAAAATGATCAGCCAGACAGTGACTGCATCCTATCGAATGTGGTCACTGTTCGGGTATTCCAGCAGCAGCTGAAAGCAGAGATTCCTCCATACGTGCTGTTTAGCGTGGTTGGGGTAATCGGTGGATAAAATGTAGACGTGTAAGGCTCACCTAAAGGCTAATTCCACCTTTTAGACCATGTTTCATGTTACATCCATACTTAGGGTGTAACATGTAACAAAGTCACAGTCCGCAGCCCGCCACCCACAAACCACACTCATCTCTTACCATATAGTGGGGTTCTTCTCCCAACTGGATCTTGTCTATGTTTTATCTTAGCAAGGAACCGCACACAGCCACGTCATTCATTCACAGATCCATTTATACAGATCGGTAAATGAAAATACTACAGGGGCGCCCTGAGGTCAGGTGTCATCCAGAGATGATTCCACTGTGATGTCATCGCGCATGCGCGGTCATCGTTTTGATACCTGCCGTCGGCCATCTTGGTGATGGACGCCGGCAGAAAGAGGAGTGGATGTTCACCCGGCAGGATAAGGTATCCCGCGGGGTCCCCTCCTCTCTCTCTTGCAACTGTCGGACTCTTGGTCCATAAGTGCCCTACTTTTCAGAGGGGGTGACACCAAAATGACTGTCAGTCATGTGGTGTCACCCCTCCAATGGTGTCACCCGGGTGTGGGCCACACCCTCTGCACCCCCCTTGTGACGCCACTGCATGTCCTGTCTGCCACCGCGGCAAAGGGACTTGTAGATATCAATAGACTGCAAATACAATGAAGTCCATTGATAACTTCCTCCAGCCCAGTAACTGAAAGTCCATAGCTTGTTATGGACAGGGGCAAGAGGAACAGTCTGCAGAAGCCAGAGCATTTCACCCACAATCCACTGATCATGATTCCCATGCTTCCCAATGTATAAAATTAAGAAATGCACATTTGGTTTTTAATCAATGTGTGTGCATTCAACTCCAGTTACAACAAGCATGTAAACTGAGCAATTCATGGTGAAGTCAGAGCTCCTGATCCCTGGTACATGGGCCTTGTTCAAGTCTCCGTAGAACATGTTACTTTTTATATGCATATAGAAACAGCTTGGCATTGGGAAACAGCACTACGAAGGCAATGGCCAGCCCCCAGTGTCACATGACCAGCCTCAGTCATGTGACACTGAACTGAAACAAAGTATTTACACACTGATTCACAGAAACAGCATCATAAAAGGGACCGAACCGTGTTTTTCTGGAATTATCG